GTGGAGTATCCAGACGGTACCTTTATGCTCTCCAAGCATTCAAACATACTTTCCTTCTCTGCCTTGCTAAGAGTGTATCTGGCTGGACTCAAGTAATGGCTTCCTTTCTCCTTTGGTTCCGGGTGAAGGTCGCCGCGTTGTTCCATATGCTTCAGATCATTACGTGCTTCCAGTGTATCTTTCGACTTTCCGTATACACCTAGGAAGCCAAGAAGGTTTACGCAAAGGTTCTTAGTGAGGTGCATCACGTCGATTGCGTGGCGTACGTCCAAGAATTCCCAATATGGTAACTCCCAAAATATAGAGTTCTTTTTCCACATCGCCGTGTGACCATCTTCGCTCTCTATAGGCTGGCTTCCAGGCCTCTTTCCGAACACTACTTTAAGATCTTTAACCATAGCAAACACTGTTTTCCCGCTGCGATGTTTAGGCTTCGTACGGTGGTCGGCCTTATGTTCGAAGTGCTTGCCTTTCTTCCGTACCGGGTGGTTTGCTGCAAGGAATCGACGATGACCCATGTATACAACCTTCCTACAGTGCTTAAGATACGTACTTTCTGTTTCATCCATACAGTGAGTGCAAGCCTTGTACCCCTTGTTGGACTGTCCGGATAGGATGCTAAGTGCAGGCCAATCGTTGATGGTTACGAACAGCAGCGCTCGTAGGTTAAACTCCTCCTGTTTGTCCTCGTCCCACATGGGGACACCTTCCTTCTTCCACAACTGTTTAAGATCTTCGACCAGTGGTCTTAGGTACACGTCGATGTCGTTACCAGGTTGCTTGGGGCCTTGAATAATAATCGGCATCATTATGTACTTCCTCTTCATGCATAGCCAGGGGGGGAGGTTGTAGATACACATCGTAACGGGCCAAGTGCTATGGCCGCTGCTCATCTCTCCAAAAGGATTCATGCCATCCGTACTCAAACCAAACCGTATGTTTCGTGCGTCCTTTCCAAATTCTTTAAATTTTCTGTCGATGTTTCGCCACTGCGAACCATCGGCGGGGTGTCTTAGCATCCCGTCCTGTTGACGCTCTTCAGCGTGCCATCGCAACATTCTAGCATTCCCCTTGTTCCTGAACAAACGCCTTAGCCGTGGTATTATAGGGAAATACCACATCACCTTAGCAGGAATTCTCTTCTTTGTTAGCTGCCCGTCAACTTCTCCTGGATCGTCCCGTCTAATCTTGTATCGTAGTGCTTTGCAAACAGGGCATGCTTCTAGGTTCTCATACTCCTCACCGCGATATAGGATACAATCGTTCGGACATGCGTGAATCTTATGAACTTCCAGTCCTAACGGGCAGACTATCTTCTTAGCCTCGTACGTTGTCTCGGGCAATTTGTTTCCCCCCAGAAGAATGTTCTTGACGAGTTTCAATAAATCGCCAAATGCCTTGTCACTAACCCCATTTTTTGCCTTCCATTGCAACAACTCCAGAGTGGTATCCAACTTTTTGTGCCCCTGCTCGCAACCTGGGTACAACGAAGTTCTGTGGTCCTCCAACATCTTGTCCAATTTATGGGCCTCCTTTTCACTTTCGCAGTCCTCCCTGGCGTCCTGCAACATCTGACCAAGATCATCCGCAACGTCGTTACCATCAGCAGCTATTTCCTCCTCGCCCGTTTGATTTCCTTCAAATCCAACATACTGAGCAAAGTCCGGAATATTGTCGTCTTCCACTTCATCTTCTTCCATTTCAACACCTTGCTCTCCATGGGATGTCCAACAATTATAGCTTGGCATGAACCCCAACTCAAACAAGTGGAAATGAATAGTCCTGGATGCAGAATACTCCTTCTGATTCTTACACTTATTGCATGGACAACAAATAAAACCCCTTTGCCTGTTAGCTTCGGCCACTCTCAAAAAATAGTGCACGCCGTCAATAAACTCTTTGGACCGCCGGTCAGCGTACATCCATTGCCGATCCATCTACATGAGTCAAAAAACCGTACACAAATAATTATTCTTACAATAATGACAGTCATACAATAATTATAAGATATCTTTATTCATACAAAAATCATAAAATATTACACCAAATAATTCTTAAAAACTATTTGTAAAGTTTTAAACTAATTTTAATGTGTTTTACTTCTTTTAATTTTTATTTTAGTTTGTTTTCTATTATTTAAGATTAACTTTCACTGGAGTTTTCCTTCTCAACTATTTTATAAAACCTTGTTTAGCAAATAAACTAAATTTCTATATATTCTTTCTTCCCCACACACATTTTCTCTCTCATCAACTTACAACTAAATTTTGGAGACAAAAAAAGTGTGCAAAACATAGGTGCAAATGTAGTATGACAAAAAAAAACATTGGAGGATGAAGTTGCAAACCTTTTAGGCACCTCCGATTTGTATGTAATCACCAAAATAAATTCAATAGAAATTTTGGCATGACCTCCCCTCTTTTTTGAAAAAATTTTGAAGTTTGCTCGGGCAGCTGGAGGAGGAAGAAGACATATATATAGGGGTGGGACTTTAGTCCCGGTTGGTAGCACCAACCGGGGCTAAAGATCACCGGGATCTTTAGTCCCGGTTGGTATTACCAACCGGGACTAAAGTTACGACTTTAGTCCCGGTTGGATCCCGGGGGGGCCTGACATGACCTGACAGCATTCGAACCGGGACTAAAGATGATCTTTAGTCCCGGTTGGTAACACAAACCGGGACTAAAGATCAAATATGCCCGTTACCCTTTTGAACCGGGACTAAAGATCATCTTTAGCCCCGGTTTTTATTGCATCCAGGACTATTGTGGAAATCGGCCGACCGACGAAAGATGGTTTCTCCACCAGTGGTACCTGCTCAAGTACTGTCAAAATTTTCTCTTACAAGTTGTATCAATTGTATCCAAGTACTGAGAGGCTACAATCGCAATTTATTTATTTATTTGCTGGTTTTGCAATCAACGTAGATGGATCGTCGTATGGCAGCGGCTTGCCGGCGTCGTACGCCCCCAGCCCACCTCGTCCATGATTTATACTTGCGAACACGCCACATATATATTCTACATGTAATGGATTAATAAATTGTTGGGATTGAGCCAACATGTTCGTCTTTCGTATTTTGTTAAACGACATATATTTTCCTGTATTTTGTTAAACATATATCTTTCGTTACTTTGGTACACTTATAAATCTTTAGTTTTAGTACTCGAGATGCATGCATTTGATTCTCCGCGACAGGAAGCACCATTTATCTTCCATACTTGTAATGGCCATTTTATGTTCTGGAATTCGTTGGTATATATATACCTGTGCGTGGAAAAGTTTGCAAATCTGATTAACAAAAGGATGGTTATGACCCAAATATTGGAGCCAAATAATTCTGTGAAATTATTCGTTTGAAAATTTATCAAAAAGCTAATATATGTTCTTCTCACCATTGGAACAATAGAGTTGTTATGCTTATTACTGAACTTGTTGAAGACAAAATAAAACCAAGTTCTATCTTTTAACAAGTTGAATCAATTATCAGGACTAAGCCCAAAATTAGGGTACATTTTAGAAAAAATGAAACTTCATTGGAAGAAAAAGAAACGCTATTATAAAAGTTATTGTAGAATTAAGAATGATGTTTTCATCATGTATATGCCAGATTATGAATTAGTAACAGTACCAAATCTTTGAAAAGTCCCTATTATTTCGATTTTTAGGATAGAATATTTATGGAATCACCATAAATACATTCCACACTACTATTTTGAAATATATTATATATATATCTTTCTTATTCTTAAGCAAGCCTCTTAAGCAAGCCCCTGGGAAGGCTTTATCTATATAAACTAAACATACAATCAAGATAGACTTCATGTTTGGCCACAGTGCTAGTTTTATTCAAGTATAGAATTTGTAGGAGTAAAAGTTTTACTCTTAAACTATCAGGTCTCCCACGTGTTGGGGAAAAAATGGATACAGAGTACAAAGTTGAGACTATATGACAATAAGTGATTTTACACCATGCTACGGCGAGGGCGCAGTGGAGGAGAGGGGGAGTCATGGCTACGACGATGACCGGCCGGCATTATGGAGCATGGGGAGTCGATGCTGCGGCAATAACAGAGATGGTCCTGGAGCTAGCAGCAACGCATCAAAGGAGAGGGAGCCGAGGCTATGGCAATTACCACGCACGAGGCTCTCCTTGATGCATGTGGCGATAGTATAGTGGAGGAGAGGGGGTCATGGCTACGACGATGATCGGCCGACACCATGGAGGATAGGGAGTCGATGCTATGGCGATAACATAGAGTCTCCTGGAGCTGGCAGCATAGCATTAGAGGAGAGGGAGCCGAGGCTATGGCAATTTCCGCACACGAGGCTCTGCTGGATTCTTGTGGCGGTAGCATAGTGGAGGAGGGGGAGTCATGGCTACGACGATGACCAGCTGGCACCATGGGGGATGGGGAGTCGATGCTACAGCGAAAAGAGTGAGTCTCCTAGAGCTGGCAGTAACGCATTAGGGGAGAGGGAGTCGAGGCTATGGCAATAATTACCGCGCGTGAGGCTCTCCTGGATGCATGTGGCGGTATCATAGTGGATGTGGGGGAGCTAAGGCTGCAACAATGACTACGAGTCTCATGGATCTAGCAGTGGCGTACTGGAGTTGGGGGAACCAAGTCTGTGAGGACGACCACAAGGCTCTTGTATGATGTATCTAGTCCATCGCCTCCCTGACAGCAGCAATGACGGCAACGGCTCTCCGCATTCCGCTGCGATGGTTGTGAGCACCAGTTCATTTATTTCCAAAACAATGTTATCACAGGCAGGTGTCTTGAGATGACCAACCAACAAAAATTAATTTTCACATGCGAGTAATATCGCTTGTGAAAATTTTGATAATTTTCGCATGTCTTTTATTAGGGGTGGTTTGTTCATTGTTTGTGCAAATCTTTTTGACTGCATGCCCGGAAAAATGATTTTTATAGTAACAAATAAAATGGCTAGCTTAAAAAGAATGAGCTTTAACGGCTTCTAGTTTCCTCAGTCCCTGGTGTTCCGTTTTGTCTTCTCCGATTGCTTCGCAGGACGTCTTTAAATACATGTGTAAAATTAAAGATTTATAACGATACAACACATTCTAAATACACAATAAAATAGATGCACATATACACGGTTAAGCTAAATTAATCCTTTTATATATCCAGAATATACAATTGTATCATGGATAGTGTCCGTATGTCCCTGGCCAGCCGCCTCCATACCCCGAGACAGCAGCTGCACCTTTGCGGCCTTCAGGAAGCTCAACTTTCATTCCATCTACCACAACTGCAAAATCAGCAGGCAAACTCTAGTTAGATAATGACATGTGTTGATATTCGATCCTGCCATGCCATTCAAATTGGTGGCACATGCAGAACACACTATATATATGAACCTTGTGATGTTTTTAAGAACAGTACATTAACCCTCTGATGACCAGAAATCAAAATGACAAACATTATGTCAACAAAAGGTTCGAGTGACACACACCAAGTATGAGGAAATTCCAATATATGTACAGACTTTCAGAATGAGAAGACTGGCCATAGGAATCGAGAAAATCCTAGCATTTGATACGAACGGATACATGCAGGGGTTGAAATTTCAGATTGAAATTCCTGAATCCCCGCGGAAGCAACTATCTCGTATGAAATTTCCGGATTTTTCTATTTTTTTATGATTTTGTTCAAATTTATTTAAATTCAGGCAAAAGTTGTTAAATTTTAAATATTTATGAAATTGTGGTGACCACCGACATACCAAGATTTCAGTCTTTTTCAAAAGTATAAACAGAGATATATGTTACCTTTGGTTGTCTCGACAAGCTCCCTTGCAGCGAGGACACCCTGCGAGACGATGACAAGACAAACCATCAACGCAAACAGCAGCACAGGAGACCTAGAAGCCATTTTGAGCTGAGTTTTTGAAATAAGCATGTACAATTTGGCACACCATGAAACCCATGAGACTATCTTATATATAGTGAGATAGCAGGTCTGAGTAAAAGTTGAATTATTGGTGCCAAAAGGCTGCTAGCTAACAGAGGATAGCGACTGGTCTGGACTGTTTTTTGCTGACCGGTTCTTAATTCAAAGTGATGACTTTGAACTTGAAACAAAATGTCAATGCTGATGCCAGATGTTTTCCTAACTCCAACCAAATTTATTGTCCTACATTGTGGGAATTGGTCAATGGTTGCAATGACTGGCAATATGGGTCGTCAAGTGTACTAAACTAATTATTGTGCCATGTGAGACTGCTTTTTTGTTTTTGTCAAGTCTTTGTAGAAGTACACTACTTTTCTTCTATGTACAAGCTAGTCATTGATTTGAAATTAAACCTTTACAAACGAATAAATCATGATTCTACCTTTTTTTATTTATTAGATCTTTTGAGAGATAATACTATATTTCTTCCCTTTCAAATTACTTGTTTTAGTTTTGTCGTTCTAGTTTTATTTCAAGTCAAACATTCTTTTAACTTTGACAATCATTTTCTATAAATTTGTGTAATATATCAATAAAATTTTTATGTTTTTAGATTGACTACAAGAAATACATTCATAACATGTTGTTAAACTATATACAAATGTGTAGAAATTGGTAGTCAAAGTTAGGACTGTTTAACTTAGAAAAAAACTAAAACGACACATAATTTGAAACCTGGGAGCTAGTATGTCTTTCTCCAAGTTTCTTCCGGTAGTCCAACACTTACTACACCTTCATTACCTAGAAAATTCTCAAGGATGTCGCATATGGATACTATAGATTTAACTGAGCCACAGGATACTGGTGTGTATCCATTTTGACTTGAGAAACTCTTATTTAATTTAAGATGAAATTGAGACTTGAGTTGTATTCAGACTCAATAGCCGCCAGTTAGTGATTCTATAATTTGCATTCTAATATATATTTAAGTTGACTTAGCTAGGGATACTGAGCATAATGCCTGCTTGCTCAATACAATGAATTTTGAATTTTGACGACAAATATTGGCACAACATGTTTTTGTCAGGCCACTACAAGTAGCAAATACAAATATTTAGTTAATACTCTCTATTAACAACTTTAGCTCTCAGGATTTGACCCAAAATATAACAACTTATCCACTAACATTCCCTTCTCAACCAACCATATATAATCCTCCATCATTCACTTCACCAATCGTAACCTCTTCCCATTTAGTTGTACCGACTTTCTTATTAATAATTGTGTCGACTCTAAAACTTCTTATATTCTGAGACAGAGGTACTATTTCATAGTTTACTACAAACTACTACTCCACCATGAAACATCATACTGAGCTAGGTACTTATATATAGTTGGAACGTGGAACTATGAATCTGATCATTGTACCAAAGAACTTTGATAACGCTAAAACAAATAACATGAACAGTAGTAAAGTATGACCTCTTCAACTCTTTCCTTCCTAGCTAGGAGAGGTGCTAGCAACAATCACAAAGAAAAGTGCCGCCTATAACCTTGAAAAGAAGAGGCGGATATTGTGGAAAATAGCAAAACTGCGTTACTTTAGCCATCGCCATTGCCGTCGCCTCCACCTCCCCCTTCCATGCTGGGACATCTCCCCCTCGCCATGGCGCGGTGGCCTGAGCATGGCGTTCCTCTTGAGCATTCCGCCGAATAGGCTGCACGCGCCTCCTCGTCGAACTGGTTCGTAGTAACCTGCAACCTCCATTCTCCGATTCGAATCTGCCAAGACAAAAGAAATCGCAAACAAATATTTGAAGAACAACTTGCATATGAAGGCGATAAGGGAGAGTGAAGGAAGATGATAAGAGAGAGCAAAAAGAAGAAGATGAATCTAACACTGGGTCCCACGTGCATATGGGGAAGAAAATGAAAAACGTGACGGCGATGACATAGTTCTAACTTTGTAAAATTTCAGTACCACGGCTACGAATAGACGAATTGTAATGGCATTTATCTAAATAGACATATTTGCAACGATACAGATCAAATTAACCCCCCCCCCCGCCGTGTTTTTTGTGACAATTTTCTTATTATCTCCACATCTTCACATACTTCGGAATTTCCCAACTCAACCGCATATGCAATTGCAGGGGAGCAACAGAGTTGAGATTCTCAAGATCTGAGGAATCGGGATTAGCACCTGCAGACTACAGCCTGGGAACAGCCACTGGGATATCAGGAAGAACCATTTGATTGCAGTGTAGATAAAGCTGAGGTTGCTCCTCACCGATGCTTCTACCACCCACAACAAGCACAAAGGGAAGCTTCCCTTTCCTGAGCGGTTTCCTCATCGATTGTTCGTGGCAGGGGAAGAGGCATCCAGTTCCGATGCGCTTGCCGTCCATACTTGTAATCCCCAACAAATTGGTGTTCCAAGAACCTCTGCGCAGTGAACTAAGTGCTGCGTGGGTTCAAGTAGAAAAGGGATCAAGATTAAGTGGTTAATATGATTGTGATATCATCCAAGCAGTCAAATGGAAGTCATGTTGTTCAGAGATAAATCCATATTTAAATTACCTGATGCTTTCTTCCAGCACGAGGAAATAGTTAGGAAAAACTCTGACGGCCCAAAATATATGTTGATAAGAGATAGTGCCATATTTGAAGTCATCTAGAGTATTAAATATATGTTAAATGATTCGTGTAGGCATAGACAAAATAATACTACCTTCGTTTCAGATTATAAGACTTTCTAGTATTGTCCACATTCATATATATGTTACTGAATCTAGACATATATGTGTGCCTAGATTCATTAACATCTATACGAATGTGGGCAATGCTAGAAAGTCTTATAACCTGAAACGGAGGAAGTAACACTTAATGAGTAACCACCGTGTACCGGATAGGTGAGTTGGTAAGGGGAATAGGGGGGAGAATAGGAGAATAGGGGGGAGTTCGGAGGGTGTGGAGGGAGTACGTGTACGTGTGTGCGTACGGTGGTGGGATACCAGATTTTTTTTATTTTAATGGAGATTTAATTGGCAAAATTAATTAGTGGGTCCACCTTTTTTTTTCCTAATTTATTAGAACGCCATGTGGCGGCTTATAAGAGTTTGTAGGATGCCACGTGACAGCTTGGGAGCGTTTGTAGAAAGGTTAATGGACTTTTAGTATATAATAGATAGATATGTGAACTTATGTTCAATTTATTTTTACTTAAAACTTATGTTTAATTTTATGTTATATTCTATTTATATTATACTTATGTTTAATTTTATGTTATATTCTATTTATATTATATAATTATTAGTGTGTGATACTATACAAGTAAATTATAGCGATCTATAATCCCGGATTCGTAGTCCTGATTGGAAAACCGGGACTACAGGGTGTTACAAACTGAGAGTAAAGACGGTTTCTCCGCCAGTGTGAATACATTTGTGTCCATGGAAATGAGAGACGATCCCACTTGAGGGCGTTTTTACCGGGCCTACTTTTTTCTCCACTGATGGGACCTTTGTGTGAAATCCATGAGACCTTTGGGTGACTTCGGTTTGGGTACCATGTTTTCCCTGGAGATGTTTGTAACTCTGCCATAGATGGGTGGCATGTTTGTGTGTTCTCTACAGATTCAGTGGCGATAGGTCTTGTTATTGTGTCCCTTCCCAGCAGGGTTGTCAATTTCGTCCCCTACCGGCAAGTAAATATATGCAGCGTGTTGGCTGCTTAGACCGGAGGTACTACACCGGTCAGGCCGGAGTACATCGAACGGTCAGACCGCGGCGCATCTACTCCGGGTAGGCCAGTCTACATCGAGTTGAGGGTAACTTTTAGGTCCCGTTTGGTAGAGTTCCAAACTCCGACTTCTAACTGTGAACTCCAACTCTAGTAGGAGCTAGCTCCTATAGGAGTTGAGGTGGGTGTGAAAGTGCTTGGCTAAACTTGTTAGCTCCACACCACTACGTCCCTTGTAGTCATTTCGTCGAACACTTGGTTGGCGTCGCCCCGCCGGTCAGCCAGCGTGTCGCCACCGCCGCCGCTCGCCGCCATCGGCCAGTCCATGCGCCGCCAGCAGCCCGCGCCCTGCCGCCAGCCCGCACGCTGCCGGTCACCGCCGAATCGGGCCAGTCTCACCGGCGATGATGGGAGAATATGAGGAAAGAGAATGGAAGGAGTTGTTTAGGGGTAGTTCAGTGGCATTTTTGTGTAAATACATTAAAAAAATTAAAGGGTAGTAGGTTTTTTGGGATGGAGTAGAGCTGTGGAGCAGAAAAACCAGCTCCACCCTCGTAGTACAAATTTGTGGAGCAGCTTTGCCAACCCCGCTCCAAAAATGAGAATCTGTACCATTTCAGCTCCAGCTCTAGATAAGTTGGAGTTGGGAGCTGGAGCTATACCAAACGGGGCCTTAATTCCGCTAAATGTTTCGGTTTTTGGCTACTACAACCATTCACCCCTTTTTGGTTGGCTTAGTTTTTACTATTCGGTCCTACATAAGGGTGTCGGCGTCAGAGGGAAAGAGGAGGTAGCCGGAGTTAGAGGAGAAGTCTTGGAGCACTAATGGAGAAGTACATCAAGTGACCCAAAATCTGCACGAAGGTTAGCAATATTCCGATAAATATTTCATCAGGTGTATTTGTTTAACGCAAGTGTGTTGATCCTAAGGTGTCATGAGAAAGCTGTATGTGTTAGTTGTGTGTGAAAAAAGTAGTGCTGCGAACGATTGCAAAGCTTAATTTTGTTAGGATGGCTGAACTAAGATATCAAAAGGCATATTTCCATCACTTGATTTTGGGAAACATCATGTAGCAATTCTCTCTCATAAACAAGACATTATTTTGCTCCTAAAGATTATTTTGCTCCTAAACAGAGCATAAACTGTTTGTTCACAGTGCCAAATCAAGAAAATTTTGAATCCGATGAAATTACCATGCTTATCATAAACTGTTTTGGGAGGATGTTCGCCATATCCAGTTTAGACGGATGACCCCAGACGCAGTTAGATTGATAATAATAATAATCTAATCATATAATTGAACAGAATTTTATACCTTGCTGCATCATTCATTGAAATTAACAAATTAAGATCGCAGAGTTGTAATTGTCCAGACTCCAGAGTACTGCCAGTAGTCGCCTGTGCGTTGCCAAAGGAAAAAGAATTTGCTGGTTGTGTGTTGCACGTTTACTTCATGTTCAGGGAAATATAAATTGCTGTGTACTTTTCTGGCTTTCTGCTGGTTGATCGAAGGGACTCACTAATGTAGCTTCAATAGCCAAATTAAATTGCTGTGCTTGCAGATGCAACGTTGATTGCAAACTGTAGAGATCCCCGGTGCCTCCCATGACCATGACCAATGCATGAATGCCACTCTTACAATATGTAGAACACGTTTTCAGATTTGGAACTGTTGTTTGCTGAACATCAACCAAAAAAAAAATCCAAATTGAGAGACTCGGCAAACTGTCTGGCTAATCCTACAAAAACCTATCATTTGGTTCAAAATTGAGTCTGAAATTGCGAATCCTACACTGACTGGGAGATCGTGCTAACTTGTACTCATCCAAAGCAGCATCGAACAACCCATATCCTATCCTGCTATGGCGGCATGTTGTCCAGATAATTGATAACACCTGACCTTTGCTCCAATAGAGTCCTATGGCGACATGCCTGACTCCTTTCATGCCTAGAGATGGCAACTTGCATTATTTGATATGGTTTCAGCTAGGTAACACATGCACGGTATGTGTTGGGTGTATTTCTAGTCATCTGATCTGAACACATAGAGAGAAGAGCAGCTACTTATGGCGATATTTTTTCTTTCTTCTTGCAGTGATATGAAAGCTTTCTTGTCCATGGCAATAAGCACGATGGGAGATTTTCTACAGTCATATAAATGCAAGTACTTAATGCTTGACTAGGTTATTTTTTTCCTGAAATGCCCTGATTTTTTGCTGCATTGATGTTGCATTTCAGAATTGCTACTTTAATTCAATGAGTTTTGCTATGTCTATCTCTATAGTTCAAATAAAAAACATCCATCAACAATGTGTCCTTGTATCAAAAATTAAATAAGGATGGTTGAGTGATATGAGTAGTACTCTAAAATCTATTATATGTGTGGATAAATTACAAATGGTATAATAACGATTATATTTGTGGACAGAAGGAGCAGTTGCTATCTCAAAAATAGCAAAACTGGATGCTAACTTGCAAAATAACACAAACTCCTCATACATTTTGGATGATGACAATATGACCAAGAATCAAATTTAATCGTTGGATGTGCAATGCTAATTAAAGTTTATAAGGATTGTGGCAAATTCAATTCCAAGCATTCAAATGGATACAGGGCTACTGTAAACTTTTATTTGAGATCAGAACTCAGAAATGCCAAGTAAAAAACACTTTATTTCATTATTTCATTACAGAACCTCGATCAAACCAATATGCCTTCCATGGTTAAAGGACTCACACCAGGCAATGGTCAAAATGGAATTGACCGTCATAGATGCCTGCCGGAGGCAGAGCTCAATGTGTCGACCACCAATGGATTGGTCAAAAAAAAATCATCTTTTTCTCCAACAAGAATAGAAGGTAGAACAGTAGGGTTGGGATTTGTTACAGCTATATATGCTATGTATATTTGTAGCTTTTTTTTTTCAGGAATATGCATATTTTTAGCTAAATGGCTAACTAACATGACAGCTTTTAATCTTTTGTCAGCTGATTAAGGCATGTGTAACATGGGAGCGGTTAAGAATACATGTACTGTGTGCCACCTTCTTGGTGATGAGACCGGTGGTTGCAATTGCAACAGGAGGTGTTATTAAGGCTGCATTCGATACGATAGGTTGGGAACCCATCCTCTCCACACGGAAAACGGAGTAGTCTATTAGCACGTGATTACTTAAGTATTAGCTAAATTTTTCTTAAAAAATGGATTAATTTGATTTTTTAAGCAACTTTCTTATAGAAACTTTTTGTAAAAAACGCACCATTTAGCAGTTTGAAAAGTGTGCACGCGAAAAACGAGTTAGAGAAGTTGGGAACCTTCAGGTTCGAACGCAGCCTAAAAGTAGGTGGTAAGTTTTGCACCATCCATAAAAAAGTGAAGTTTATGTGATGGGGGTGTCTAAGGAGACTGAAGAAAAGTTTGCTGATATGCTGAACTGCAAAGTGGGGGTGATGCCTTTTAGTTATCTAGGCCTTCCTATGAGTTTTGGGAAGCTACAGAGAAAGGAATTTAGACCACTAATGCCAGAAGGTTGAGAAAAGACTAGATTCATGGCACAGTGGCCACCTGTCTTATGGGGGGAGGGAGATTAGAATAAATTCTTGTCTAACTAGTATTCCTTTGTATGCTATGGGTTTCTTTAAGCTCCCTGAGGAGTTTCATAACAAGTTAGATGCTGTGAGGGGGAGATTCTATTGGTAGGGAAAGGGGAAGAAGAAGAAATACCATTTGATCAAGTGGCATGGGTTGTGTAGACCAAAAGATTTCGGGGGGTTGGGTTTCATGGATACCAAAGTTATGAATGTTTGTCTGCTAAGTAAATGGATTGTGGAACTGGAAAATAATTCCCGAGACATGAGCTGTGTGGTTCTTAGGAATAAATATTTAGGGGGAGACAGTTTCTTTAATAGTTCAGCCAAGGGGGTTCTCAGTTTTGGAAGGGGTTGCATTCC